GCAGCACTGCACCGTGCCAGGCAGGGGGGCCACATGGTGCCTGCCAGCATGGGGGGGACACAGCATGTCCTCTCTCCAGCACTGGGCCTGTGGAGCAGGGTCAGGACACCCAAGTCACTCCCCCTTCCCTTCTTATATTTACTGTGGCATATTTTGATGGTAGGGGGCAACAGGAGCAGGGCTGGCCATGTGTCCCCTGCATGTAGCCCAGCAATGGAGGACAGCCCCTGCTCAAGGTGGGGGTTTATACCTGTTCCTGCCACCAGCAGGGAGAAATAAAAGTTTATTTGTAGTCTGGAGGGTTTGGTCACTGCAGGAGGAGTGGTGAGTGATGCCAGGGTGTGGCAGGCGGGGAGATCCGGGTGCCAGGGCCAGGCACCCAGCTGGGGCACCCATGGAATTGGGCAGTGCCAGCACCATCAGAAGAACTGCAAAACCGAGGCAAAGTCATAGTGAACCTCGGATCCAGGCGGGATTTTCTGCCCAAGTCTATTGCCAGCCCTTCATGTTGGGCACCACACTGTAGGATCCCTCCTCCCTGGGCAGGGGGACACAGCCTGGCATCCCCTGGCTCTGCTCACTGGACCTCAGGGGCAAGGCTGTCTTGTCTGTGGACCTTCCTAGTGAGGACTCCAGCCCCCGCAGGCAGCGGCCTCCGGCATCCTGGACCCAGCCCCGAAAATCCTGGGAGATGTAGAAGTAGATGAAGGGATCAAAGCAGTTGTTGAAGGCACTGAGCACCAGGGCCAGGGCATACCAGAAGTAGGTGACATTGTGGCACCCTGTGGGCTCCAGCATGTAGTGGATGAAGAGCAGCACATTGCTGGGGGTGAAGCAGAGGATGAAGACCAGGAGGACCAGGGCCAGGACACGCACCACCTGCCCATAGCAGCTTCCCTTGGCCAGCAGCCGCACCAGGATGCAGCTGTAGGAGATAGTCATGAGCATGAAGGGCAAACCAAAGCCCAGCCCCACCAGGGAGAGGAAATAGTAGCTGAAGAATGTGTGTGTTCCCTTATCTAGGACATCGTGGCAGGTTGTGATGTTCAGGCTCAAGATATCTTGTGTCTGGGAGTGCAAAAGCAAAGGGCTCATGGAAACTCCCACCACCAGCCAGATGCCCACACAGATGCCCACCTTGCCCCTGGTCCAGCTGGAGCCCTTCCACAGGAACGGGTGTGCCACGGAGATGTAACGCTCCAGGCCGATGCAGGTGAGGAAGAGGATGGAGCTGTACATGTTCCCATAGAAGAAGGCCACCATGGTGCGGCACAAGTAGTCCCCAAAGAGCCAGTGGTTGCCCAAGAGGTGGTAGGAGATCTTGAAGGGCAGCAGGAGGACAAAGAGTAGGTCAGCACCAGCCAGGTTGAGCAGGAAGAGGGTGCTGGAACACCTCCTGAAGTTGGTGGCCAGGACCCAGCAGGCCAGAGCATTGGCTGGCAGCCCTACGAGCAGGACCACGGAGTAGAGGGCAGGGAGCAGGAGGGTGCTGAGGGTGCTGTTGAGAAAAGCTTCCTCGGAGGCTCCGGGGCACAGGTTTTTCTCAGGGGGCATGAGGCGGATGAAGGATCGCCCTTTGACAGGCACTGCGGAGGACACGAGGCATCACGCTCTGCCAAGAGCCCCCTCCCACTGCCCCTTCCCACCAGGGACCACGCAGGAGCTGTCACCCCTCTCTGCAGCCCCCTCCCACCGGGGACCATGCAGGAGCTGCCACCCCTCCCTGCAGCCCCCTCCCACTGGGGACCATGCAGCAGCTGTCACCCTTCCCTGCAGAGCCGCCAGCAAACACAGGAGCTGGTGTCTCCCTGTCCCATGGCAGGGGCAGCTCCGACACGTGAGCCCTCGACATCCTGCTGCCCTGGTCATGTTGAGCTGTGCCACATCCTGTGCCATCCACCACAGCAGCAGTGCCAGCCCAGTTGGGCACCCTGCCCACATCCCAGCTGGGCTCTACTCCCACACACTACTGCAGGGGCAGGCAGCTCTGCTGGCATCCCTCGTGCTACCAAGCCCAGCGCAACAGGATCAAAAAGGCAGATGGGAAAGCCCCACCAGCACAGGGTTGGGATATAGCCATGACAGGATGGGAACTCCTGCCTCCTCCTCCCCAGCTCAGCTCCCCTCTATGTGTCCCTGTCTTCCTGCAGTCAGGGGCTTTTCACTGCATGTGAAGAACAAAAGCAAAGAACAGGAAGGCTCTGGACACCGGACATAAGTCTCCAGATCAGATCCCTTTTCTGGCTTGTTCAAAAAACCCAGCCAGGCTCCACTCCCCTGCACATCACCCCTGGCTCCAAAAGTTCCATCCAGGTGGGTCTCCAGAACACTCCACCCTGGGGGGCTTAGGTTACATCCAATGGGTTTTGCACAACCTCTGCCACCTCTCCACATCCAGGGGATGGAAAATTCAGGTTACAAGAGCAGTAATCTGAATTTTTGCTGCCAAAAGGGGAAATGCTGCCTGGTTTTCAGGCCTTCACTCAGTTTTTCAATGTGTACACCAAGGGAAGGCAGCAGAGCGGTGCCCCAAGCTTTCTCCATGACATCCAGATATCCTGTCCAAGTATGATGGGATGTGATACTGGGGTGTCCCAGTGAGGTCTCCCTGCCCTGCCCCATCACACCCAGACCCAGCGAGGCACTTACTTGGGGAGTGTTGGGTGGCAGAGACGAGCCAGGTGCAGCTGAGCAGGAGGGTGACACAGGCAGCAGCACAGCCAGGCGATGGCACCAGCCAGGACATCTCTGCTGAGTGGCCGCTGTGCCAGTTGCGTCTGCACAAATGCCATGGGCAGGGCTGGTCTCATTGCACGTCACTGCGGTGGGACCAGCCCCAGCCCCCTCCCGCTGCTCCCCTTCCTCTTTCTCCAACACGTCACCACCAGCGTCCTGGCCTCGTCCTGTGGTGCGCGCGGCCAGACAGGAGCACAAAGTGTCTGCCAGTTGTCACCAGCACCGAGCGTCCAGGGGACGTCATCGAGGCCAGGGGGATTTCCAGCCACTGGCACACAACCACGCTGTGGGGAGGAGGAAGCAGACGTGAAGCAACCATAGGCAGAGAGTGGAGAACTGCAGCGGGAAGAGGGAGCTGTTTGTGCCCCACATGTGGGACAGGAAGGAGGCAGCTGGTGATGTGTGTCCCTGCCCCACTGCTGCACCAACAGGACACAGTGCACCTGCCTGCTCGGCCCAGCCAGGACCAGGCGTCCCCAGGGATCTGTCACTGTGGTCGGGATGATAAGTTGGTGTCACCCTGTAGATGGGGCCACCCTACATTGCCCCACTCTGCTGTCCCCTCCTGTCACCAAAGTGGGGGTTGGTTGGCCCTCATCCATTTTCCCAGCTCCCTCCTGCAGCAGAGGGGACAAGGAGGGGAATAACAGACCCGGTGACACTTCTCCAGCCCAGACCAGCCTTGTGCACTGTCACACACCAGGGGATCCAGGACATGCAGCTGACCACAAAAATGTCATGGAAAAGCAAGAAGGGGACAAATGGAACAGTGGAGTGAGCCACAAGCTCTTCAGGAACCACAGAGGAAAACCAGAACAGAGAAGTGAGAGCTGAAAGGGATGGGAGAGGGAAAGGAGGGGGACAGGGGGACAGGAGGACAGACAGGACAAGGGTTGGCTGGAGACCGCTCATGATTCCAGGTGTGCCCCACCAAATGGCACTGCTCAGCACCATGCCCGTGTTCCCATGGCAGAGTCCTGCCATGTTAGGGGCTCTGCATCTCCATGTGTCCCTGCAGACTGAGGCCCCACATGTCCTCGCACCCCAGAACCAGTGCCCCAGCATCCCATGTGTCACCGTGTCCCGGGACCAGTGCCCTCTGTGTCCTCATGCACAAGGACTTGGTCCCCAGCATTCCCAGTGCCCTGTGCTCCAACACCCCTCATGTCCCTATATCCCTGTGTCCCCCCATCCCTGTCTCTCCATCTTCCTGTGACCCCGTGTCCCTGTGTCCCCATGTCCCTGTCTTCACATGTCCCCATGTCCCTGTGTCACTATCTCCCATATCCCTGTGTCCCATGTCCACATTTTCCCTCCCATGTCCCCATGTCCCTACCTCTGTATCTTCCTATGTTCCCATGTCACTCATGACCCTGTCCTCCTGCCCTTCTATGTCCCCATGTCCCTGTCTCACATATCCCCACGTCCCCACAGTCCTGTCTTCCATGTGCTTATGTCTCCATGTCCCTCTGTCCCTGTCCTCTTGACTTTCCATGTCTCTATGTCCCTGTGTCCCCATGTCCCATGTCCCCATATCCCATGTCCCCATGTCCCGTATCCCTGCCCTCCTGCCTCCCTGGATCCTGGTCTTCCTGCTTCCCTTATCCCTGTGTCCCATATCCCTGTGTCCCATGTCCCTGTGTCCCCGTGTCCCTGCCTTCCCATGTGCCCATGTCTCCACATCCCTGTCCCTGTCCTCCTGACTCCCCATGTCCCCAAGTCCCCATGTCCCATGTCCCTGTCCTTCTATCTCGCTGTGTTCCCATGACCCTGTCTCCCTGTGTCCCCTTATCCTCAACTCCCTGTGTCCCCATATCCCAGTGTCTCCATGTCCCTGTCTCCCCATGTCCCCATAGCCCCATGTCCCCACATCCTCGTGTCTCCACATCCTCGTGTCCCCATGTCCTGTGTTTGTGTCCCCGTATCCCGGTGTCCCCATGTCCCTGTCTCCCCGTGTCCCCCTGTCCCGTGTTCCCCTGTCCGTGTCCCCTGTCCGTGTCCCCCTGTCCGTGTCCCCATATCCCCGTGTCTCCCTGTCCCGTGTCCCCCTGTCCGTGTCCCCATATCCCCGTGTCCCCCTGTCCGTGTGCCCCTGGCCCGCGTGCCCCCGTTCGTGCCTCACCGACCGGCAGGGGGCGCAGAAGCCACCGCGGTGGGCGTGGCTTGACCGGCGTGACGGGCGGGGCTTCACCAGTGCTGCCCGGGTAATAGCGGGGGGCGTGTCCGGGGCGGGGTCTGATGGGGCGGGGTCTGTTGGGGGCGGGGCCCGGCCCGTCCCGGCAGTTCCGGGCTCCGTACACGCGATCGGGCACCGAGGTCGGGGTCGGAATCGGGATCGAGACCGGGAGCGGGATCAGGACGACACCGGGGGAACGCAGCGATGCAGCCGCCGCCGCGCAAGGTAAGCGTGAGGCCGGGCCGGGGCACGGGGCGAGCGAGCGAGACCGGGTCCTCCCGTGCTGCCGTGTCCTGCAGCCGCGACCGGGACTCGCCCCCAGCGGACCCTCACCGTGGCTGAGGACTCGGGGCTGTGGCTGGGGGGCACCCAGGAGGAGGGGCGGTGGAGACCGGTACCCCAGCTAGGGATCAGTGCATCCTCGCAGCCCCTCCACGCACCCCATTCCCCCACCCCCTCAACGCACCCCATCTCTGCACCCCATTCCCGCATCCCATCCCCGCACCCCCTCCGCGCACCCCATCCCTGCACCCCTTCCGCCCCCCCCGTCTACGCCCCCCCTCCCCGCACCCCATCACGACCGGCACTGCGGCGGGGACGGAGCTGAGTAGATCGGTCTCACAGGTCAAGCTCACCCAGGAGCTGCGGGTCCACGTTCTGGAGCAGATCTCGGGCCTGCAGAGCAAGCAGCAGCGGGACGCCGAGCTACTCGAGGACATCAGGTACGGCCCCACGCGTGTGTGTGACACCCTCCCATAGAGCTGAGACTGGGCAATTCATCCCACTGGTGTGTGTGTGTGTGTCCCTGATCTGAGACCAAGCAACTCATCCCATGGATGGGCCAGGGACCAGGCATGGCTCAACATGGGCCTGGCACCTCGAGGTCATGGGCTCCATCAGCCTCTAGGGTGGCCTGATGGGGACATCCAGGTGCGGGGTGGTGTCAGGGGTGATGGCAGGGGTACAAAAGTAGGGGGTGATGACAGAAGGTGCTGGCAGAGGGATGGTGGCGGGGGGGATGGCAGGGGTGACCTGTCCCTGCCACTCTCTGTGTGTCCTTGCCTGCCCCATGTCGCCTCTCCCCCCAGATCCTACAGCAAGCAGAGGGCTGCCATTGACAGGGAATATGGGCAGGTAAGGAGGAGGTGCTACCAGATCCAGGACTAATGTCCTGGGGAGCCATGGGCCCTATCCTGCCTGTTTGGGATATCCAGAGCTGGGCACAGCCTCACACAGGAAATGGGCAACCTTGGAAATTATCCAGGCTTGGCAGCTCCGTGCTGCCGTCCCAGGGGGTGGTGGCAGATGGACAGTTGGCATGTCCCTTGCTGAGGGGACCCCAACCCTGTTCAGACACTCGTCAGGGGCTTTGCTGAGCACAGCATGGCCCAAACCTCGGTTGTTTTGGGAGCCTGGAGGGAAAACCCTGCGGGGCGGGGGGGAAACTGCTGGGCTCTGCTGTCTGCTGGGTCATCGCAGGGCACTGCTCTGAAATGTCAGTGCTTGGTTTTGCCATGAGATGTTCCCGCAGCATCCCTTGGGGACATACTGCAGCATCCCTTGGGGACATACTGCAGAACTGTGTCCCCCCCTTCCTACAGCCAGGCACGGCGCCACCCCACTGCCTCACCCCCCTGAGCTGCAGGGGGGACTGTCCCCCCAGGGTTGGGGTCTGTCTGTACTTTGCTTTCCTGGGGGCTCCTCTGCCCTGTGTCTGTAGCCAGTGTCCCTCGGTGGTGTCCCCTTGGAGAGCTTCCATCCCAAAAGACACAACAGGGTGGTCTTCTGGTGGCTGCTCCCCAAAAAGGTTTTCTCATGGGGAGCATGATGGGATCTCTGCTAACACCGAGCCACTGGAGGGGGGGGGTGTCCCTGTTCTGGAGGAACATGTGTGTCCCTGGGCTCATGGGGTGGGCAGCCAGTGCGGGGGAGCCCAGTTTCAGGCCCAGAGCAGGACAGCGGGTGCTGGGGTGCTCGGCAGGGATGGGGAGTGCCATTGATGCCAGGTCTGTCCTCAGGCACTGCAGAGACTGGCAAGCCAATTTGTGAAGAGAGACTGGCATCGGGGCCGCGGCGAGGCCAGTGACTCGAGGTGGGCTGGGGACAGGGACAGGGATGGGCACAAGGGGCCGGGGCTGGCAATGGCCTCCCACCTGGGAGATGCCTAATGCCAACTGGGACTCAGATCCAGGGATTCAGTCCTGGGTGGGATGTCCCCATGGGTGCGATGCCCTCCCCTCCGAGGGCTGGGGGTGCTGTCTGTCCTGCCAGCTGTACCAAAAGCTGGCAGTGGGGCAGGGAGTGCCTGCCCTACATTAACCCTGTGCCTGCAGGACCATGGCTGCTGTCTGGAAGGGCGTCATTGAGGGGACGGCGCACGCCGGGCAGGCCCATGTCACCGCCTCAGAGAGCTACCGCACCCTGGCCACCGAAGTTGCCCGCACCGCCCGCCTCTCCAAGGAAAGGATGCTCAAGAAGGTACCAGGGCAAGGACATGTTCCCTGTGCCTGGGTGGTGGGGACAGCTATCCCCCCTCTGGCTGACGCTCCCCGCAGGGCATGGAGCGGCTGCAGAAGGCGCAGGCGGAGCTGCTGGAGTCAGTGAAGGAGCTGGACAAGGCGAAGAAGCAGTTCACACACCTCCAGCGGAGCAGCGAGGTAGCCAAGGACAAGGCAGCTGACGTGGAGGCTCGGTGAGTTCGGGGGACAATATGGGTGCTGCTATGGCTGCAGGGTGGTCTCACATCCCTCTCCCATCCTCCCCAGCCTCCGGAAGAGCGACCGGCGAATATTTCACACCAAGGCCAGTCTGCAAAAGCTCAGTGCCAAGGTCAGCAGCACGGGGCACTGGCGGGGTACCCAGGGGGTTGGATGCAGGGGGACATGGGTAGTGGCCCCCACTCCATCACCAAGCCCTGCTCTTCCCATTCCTACAGTTCTCAGCACGGCTGGCCGAGCAGTCAAAGCAGCTGGCGGGGGTGCAGAATGAGTACAGCTTCGCCCTGGTCTCTGCCACTGCCCACCTGGAGCACTATCAGCGTGTGGAGCTGCCCGCAGCCATGCAGGTAAGAGCTGCGCAGATGCCCCTGTGCCCCCTCCTGGGCTCCCAGAAGGAGCGTCTCCCCAGTGCTGCTGCGAGGGGGGCAGCAGGGAGGGTCCTGCCAGCACAGGGGGGTCAGGGATGCTCTGGGAGGGATGCAGGCAGTGCTGTGGGGATTTCCACCCACTTTCCCCCAGGCACTGGATGGGGACCTCTACGAGCGGCTCCGGGAGCACTTGTCGGCCACCAGCCGGACAGAGGTGGAGACCTGCCGGGCCACGTGGGACTGGTTCCAGGGTGTTGCGGAGGCATCCGCACGGGTAACGGCACCGTCCCGGGAGCTGGGTGGGACAGGAGGGCACGGGTGAGCCCCCTGGCCCCACACCACTCCCCTGCCACAGGTGTGCCGGGAGCAGGACCTCCTCCTCTTCCTGCAGGACCACCCCGCCTTCTCCCTGGCCCCCGAGCAGCGCTTCCAGCTCACTGGGGTGGAGGAGGTAGGTGAGAGAGACACATTACAGCAATGTGGGGGTCTGTACAGCCAAGCCCTTCTCACCCCCGTGTCCTTGCCCAGGTGCGCCTGCTGCCACCAGGGGATGATGGAGCCAGCCTGGAGAAGGAGGCCCGGCGATGGGCCACGCGTGTGGCCCGGGACCAGAAAAACAAGGCACACAGCGAGGAGGTGGGTGTTGTCCTGCCCCATGGAACAGGCTGAGGGGCTCAAGGAGGGGCATTTCCATTCCCTCAGCAGCTCCCACCACCCTCTGACCTGTGGGTGCCCACCCAGGTGCTGCAACGGCTGGAGGCCAGGCGGCAGCAGCTGCCAGAGGGGGAAGCAGCCACCGTGGAGCGGCAGATGGAAGAAGCGAGGGAAAACATCCGAAAGGCAGAGGTGGGTCCCCCAGGTGGGTCTGTCATCCCCAGGGTGGGGGACACAGGGATGGAGAGGTGTGGTGACTGGGATGTGGTGCTGGGGATGTGTCCCTGGGAATGCTCTGCCACCATGGCCGCCACGCTGGGGATGGGGATGATAGGGTTGGGACTGGCTGTCCCCCACCGTGGGTGTCCCCAGGTCAGTCGAGTGAAGGCCGAGGCACGGCTGGCACTGCTGCGGGCAGCAGGGCTGGATGTGGACGCCTGGCTGGCGGGGGCCATGGTGGGGACAGGTAAGGAGACAGCCACGGGACTGGATCCGGCCGAGTTTGATGACTACGAGGACAGTGACGAGCCAGATGGGGACGATGAGCCTGGTCCTGCTGCTCGCACCTACCCCTACACCTGCCGAGTCATCTTTGGGTACCAGGTACGGCCCCAGCTGCCCTTCTCTCACCCTGCCTGCCCAGGGATGGCACCTCAGCCTCCCTGCTATTTTGTCCCTGTGCCCTTCAGGGCTGCCAGGCGGATGAGCTGTCCATCACCCAGGGTGAGGAGCTGGAGGTCATCGAGGATGGGGACGCAGAGGAGTGGGTGAAGGTGGGAGCAGGCTGAGTCCCACCATTTGGAGGTCCTCAGGCTGTTACCTGTCCATAGGCTGGGATGTTCACGTGTTTCTGCCCCCTCAGGCTCGGAACAAGGCAGGCCAGGTCGGCTACGTCCCCGAAAAGTACCTGCTGTCCCTGGGGTGCGATTCAGGGGCTGGGCTCAGCCCCCTGGGACCCTCTGCTTTGCACCGCCAGCTCTCCAGCATCATGGCAGCAGAACTGGTCCTAGAGCCTGGAGGTGGGTGCTGCTCCATCACCCCCAACCTGGGGAGGGGGACAGGACCCTAGAAGGTGCTGAGCCCCCTCCCCATCATCCCCACAGCCTGGCTGGTGCGGGCTCTGTACGATTACGAGGGGCAGAGCCCTGAGGAGCTGAGTTTCCCTGAAGGGGCCATCATCCGGGTGCTGCCCCGCGCCGCTGGAGAGGTGGATGATGGCTTCTGGACTGGTGACTTCGACGGCCGTGTCGGCGTCTTCCCCTCCCTGGTGGTGGAGGAGCTCACCGGGGCCCGGGAGGCGGCGGGGCAGGTCAGTGGCGGGAGGGTTGTTGTGTGGGAAAAGACTCCCTTCCCATTGTTCCCATCCCTTTCGGTCGTGTCTTCCCAGGAGCTGCCGTCGCCGTCCCCTCCACCCTTCTCCCCTCCTGGCCTCGCCACCGGGGCCCTACTGACCCCCAGCCCTGCTCCTGAGACATTACTAGGAGGTGAGTGCTGGAGGGGTGGAGCTGAGAAGGGGCTGGGAGGGCCTGGAAAGCCAGGCTGAGCTGCTGGGCCCTTCCAGGTTGCCGACAGGATGGCACGGGCAGCGGGCAGAGCTCTCCGGACCTGGCAGCCACCCGACTACGGCCAGTAAGCCCCATCACAGAGGCCCCCCAAACCTCCCCCAGCTCTTCCATGACAGGGGACAGTGTCACCTGTGTGCTCTGGGGGTCTCAAGGGGCATAAGTGGCCTCAGCATGTTGGCACTGCTTGTCCTCTCCTCTCTCTGCAGCTCCGAGCGCCACCCCCGCCACCCAGCAGAATCCCTGAGTCCGACCCTGAGCTGCACTTCAGCTGACCCTGCGAGTCCCCCTCATGCCTCTCTGTCCCCCAGAAAGCTTTGCCCGAGCAAACCATCACAGGCTGCTGTCCCTGGCACTGCCCCATGTCCTGAGCTGGTCTCTTCCAGTGGCTACAACCCACACAGTGCCACTTGCAGAGTGTTCCTGCATCTCAGTACAGCACCAGGAACCCTGGCTAGCCCTTTTTTGGGGTGCTCAGTGCCACAGCCAGGCCCCATCTCACTCACCTCTTACCTCTGCCTTTTCTGCCTGGCATCACCTGTGCACCCCCAGCACAGCCCTGGCCCCCGGACCTTGCCGGCCCCCCACAGGCAGGAGTGGGTGGGGGGAGCTGTTCCCAATAAATCCAGTTGTCTGGCGAGGTGTTCAGCAGCTTTAATGGTTATAGCTCGTCTATGTACAGGGCAGTTACACCGAAGCTCGGACAGGCACCGGGGTTGCCCGCTGGCCTGGCCAGGGGGTGACCCCGCCCCTGGGCTGGGCTCCGGCCCCTCCTGTGCCGGGATGGGGCTGGAAGCTCCTGTCTCCGCCAGCATCTCCCGGGGACCAGCACGGTCCCTCGCCGGTGCAGGATTTGTGCCTGTGCCCGCTCTGCGTGGCAGGGGTGCCCGGGGGGGGCTGTGCTCTGCAGTGAACGCGCCGGGTGGGTGGGAGGGTGCTGCCCCCCGCCCGGGGGGGCTCGAGCCGCCGCCTCCATCCCCGCCCCTCGCTGCAGCCCCCGCTCTGATCCTTTCCCTGGAGCTGGGGGGGCTGCAGGGGTCGGGTGGGCAGCGGGGGCAGGGTACTGTCCTGCCCGTCTTGCCCGTCCGTCCGCCCCCCGGTGGGGTTTCCGGGGCGGGTGCGGTGGGTGGGATCGGGTACCTATTGCCAATGGGATGGGATCTGTCGCCGAGCGCGGTTGTCGGTAACGTCGCTCCGGCCATGCCAAGCGCGTAGCTGCCCACCCGGGGTCGGGGCCGGCTGCCCCCGCGGCTGCCCCACGGCACAGCCCTCTGCCCGGCGTGCGGGCCGGGGGCTGCGCGGCTCCTGTCCACGCTCCAGCCGGGAGCGGAGAGGAGCTGTGGGGGAGAGGGGCAGGATAGAGCTTGTCTCCACCACCATAGCATTTTCCCGTCCACCCACGGGCCCGTGTCTGCCCACTGGCATCACTGCCTCTGGCTGGACATGTGGTCCTGCCCATGTGGGACCTGGAGCATTGGGAACGGACCCCTCTGGAGAAGGGGTTCACCTTCTCTCCATCTCCATCACCAAGCTGTGACCCACCAGGACAGGGACGCTGCCATCACCCTCCCACCCCTCCCCACCCCAGACAGACGTTGCCCCAGGGGACAAGGGACAAAGCACTCACGTCACACCGTCGATCTCCAGTCCTTCTCTGCAACGCTGGGCTCCTGTGGGATGGAGGAGGGATGTGCATGAGGAGAGATGTCAGCAGGAGTAGGGTGCTGGGGTGGGGGCCAGTTGTCCCTTGGCCACAAAAGCAACCCTTGGGCCAGTGGACAGAACCCCACTGAGTCTCCAGGAGCAACTACAGCCCACACATCATCTCTGCCCTTCCCCATCTCCTGCAGGACGTGATGAGCAGCAGCCAACAACCCTTGCTGTGGCCCGGCTGGGACTGAGGGGGCAGAGGAGGGTTCAAGTGACAAACATCCCTTGGAGGTCCCATCACCATTCTCCTGGGACCCCATGTCCTGGAGCACCTCAACACCACATGGAGGGTCCAAGGCAAAAGTCTGGAGCCACAGAGGGGACATATATCATCATGTCCCTGGGCTTGCCCTGCATGTAACTGCTTCCCCATAAATCAGAGGTACCACAGCCATCACCCAAGGCATTAGTGAGCCGTGGAAGGACCTGTCACCACCTTTCTAGGTCTCTGGAGAAAGGCTACAGCCCATCAGCTCTGTCCTGCCTGGCTGCCCTGGGCTGTCCTTCTCCATGAAACAGCTCAAACCTTCCAGCCTGGACACCAAAAGGCAAAGAGGGAAACAGTTAACAGCAGGATCCTGCTTTTTCCTTAGGCTGGCACCCAGCGAGGTACCTTTTCCCAAGGCTCTCCCACACTGACCCAGTCCTGCTCCATCCCAGCCTCTGCCAAGAGCTGTTGGTATGTGCCATGCCAGTGGAACTCTAGCAGAGCCAGCCCCAGGGGATCTCCCTGGCCTTGAAGCATGCCAGGAATTTTACCCAGGAGTTTGACTTCCTTTTTCTTCCAAGGACTTTAAAGGAATGCCCTCATGCTGGTTTTGTAGGGTGAATCAAGACCGGCTCCTGGGGCTGCTGACATCACACCAGGGGTGTTTCCCCAAACCCCTTCCATGAAAATCATCTTACCCCAACTGCAGAACCATGTTGTGAGTGTGTGAGTGAAATGCTGTGTGTCTGCTCCCACCACCAGCAGCCTCATTTGCTCAATGCTAACATCCCAGAGGCAGTTTCAGGGAGCAAATTCCCCAAACTGGGGGCCACCAATGGCCAAGCAAACTGTATCATTACCCTGGAGCTCTGGTTCCTCCAGCAAGGTGTTTGGGTGGGAAGGTTGGGAGATACCAGCGTGCTGGAACTCCAGGCATAGTGAGCTCTCCTCTCTAAGCACAGCTCATCTGGAGCAGGGAAACCCAACCATTTGGCTTCCCAGTTCCCCAGATTTCAGGGCAAGAAAGGCTCCTAGAGATATCTCTCCCTCCCTGTTCATTGCTGGCCACGCTGAGGCTGCAGTTTTGGGGACACCATGTGCAGTGGTGGAGCTCAACCAAGTCAGGATTGCAATGGATATCCCCAAAGAGCTCAGACACAAAGGAAAACATCCCTTGCCCGAGGGGCAGCTGGATCTGCAGCATCCCCTACTCCCCTGGAAGCACAGATACCACCACGGTGGACCTGTCACAGTGACTCCACGTGCCACAGACATGGAAAATGAGTGGAAGAAAACAATCCCCTTCAGCCCAGGGGACCACACGGGGACAAGGAAGAGGAGGAATGTACCTGCTGCTCCTCGTCCTCCGCTCCAGGCTGTCTCCTGCTGCTGTCGTCTCTCCCCAACTCCTCAGCCTGTTCGTGTAGACTCAGGCTCCCGTGAATATCCGACACTTCATCTGCCGAACCCAGTCCGATCTCCTCCAGGCACATGCCGGCTCCTTCCCTAACCAGCTCTCCCGGGATACTGGGACTCGACCCTCCCAGCGCCGGATGGCTCAGGAGCCTCCTCTGGCGGCTCATGCTCCCGGGAGCAGTGCCAGCATCCTGCAGCGAGCCTGCCTTGCTGGACCCCGTGCCCGCCCGACGGCTGTCGCGAGTGCCGGAGCTGGCTGGTGTGTTGAGGGCTGGGGTGGTGGAGAGGCTCTGCTCCACACCTTTGCCACTCTGGATGTCTCCGTTCTGCAGGCCCCCCGTTGGGACAGTCCCGTTGCGGGCCCGCTCCCGCTGGAGCCGGTCGCTGCTGTGTTCCACCTCCTCCGTGCTTAGCTCCCGGCTGCCGTCGGGCAGGGGGCCGTCCTGCTGCTCTTGGACAACAGGTTTCTTCCCGATGTGTGTGACACGAAACCTGGAATTGGGGGCAGGGCAGATCAAAATCCTTCTCCTCCTCTCCCACAGCTGTATTCCCCGCTTGCCTGTACCTCCAGCCTCGGATCTCCTCTCCTTGCCATGATCTCCAACATTTCAGACCCACTCAGCACCACTCCTGCTCTAGCAGTGCCCACACTGACTTAACCCCATCTTTCCCTGCATTTTTAGAAAAACAAAGAGAAAGAGAGGAATGGAAAGTCCAGATATTGGCTGGTGCAGACCCTGCCAGCTTGTCCTCTCAGCAGCAAGATGGATCACAGCAGCTGGAAATGCTCTGAAACACAGCCTGGGTGACAGTGTGCCCTAAGTGAGGGTAGGGACAGGTTTTGGCAGTGATTTGGGTACAAGGAGCAAAGGCAAGAGGAGCTGTTTAGCTAAAATCTGCCAGAGCACACTTTGCACCATCCCCTTAAGTGATGGATGGTACCTGGGTGATTCAACAAGGTTCCATCATAGCCAGGTAACAGCTCAGAGCTCCCAGGTGGGCAGGAGAACAGCTGCAGAAGCTGGTCTGACACCCTCAGAGGGTGTGTTTAGAATCAGAGGTGATGCAATATTGCACATGAGGAGTAGAGAGAAGTTAGGGATCACAGAATCATAGAATGGTTTGGGTTTGAAGGGTCCTGAAAGACGTCTCATCCCAAATCCCTGCCATGGGCAGGGGACACCTTCCACTAGCCCAGGTTGCTCCAAGCCCTGCCCAACCTGGCCTTGGACACTTCCAGGGATCCAGGGGCAGCCACAGCTTCTCTGGGCAACCTGTGCCAGAACCTCCCCACCCTCCCAGAGAAGAATTCCTTCCCAGTATCCCATCTAACCCTGCCCTCTGTCAGTTTGAAGCCATTCCCCCTTGTCCTGGCACTCCAGGCCCTTGTACAAAATCTCTTGGGGCCCCTTTAGGCACTGGAAGGGGCCGTAAGGTCTCCTTGGAGCCTTCTCTTCTCTGCTGAACAGCCCCAGCTCCCTGAGCTTGTAAGAGGTCAAGTGTAGGCAAAGCCTAAACTGATCTGGGAGTGAACTGGTTGTGACTCACGCCATGACTCCTCCTCACAAGCACTGCCAGCCACTGCTGGACCAGCAGACAGGAAATCTCTTCCATGATGAGCTGATGTCCACCAGCCAGAGCATGCCAATCCCACCACAGAGACCTTCTGCAGCCCATGACTCACCCACTCCTGCTCTCCCTGCACTTGGATCGCACATGGAGGAGCTGCTGACAGCCCTGGATGTGCTGAGGTTCAGCTGCAAGTCAGCACCAGGGCAAAACACAACTCCACAGCAAAGTTCAAGCACTGCTGGGGTTGAAAGAAGAGCAAGACCCATAGGTCAAGCGTAGCAGCTTCTGAAGGAAGGAGTAGAGAGGTCTGAGAGATAAGAACAGAGGCCAGGTGAGATGGAGACCACCAACAGGCTGAGGACCAGCCTATGGACAGCACCAACCTCTCAGTATGGTCAGAAATGCTGCTCTGGAAGGGTGAAGAGGAGAAATGCTCCAGCTCCAGAAAAGGTATCCACAGGTCTGCTTAGGTCAGACCAAGCAGCAGCAAATGTGGCCTTTCAGGTCTGTCCAGGTATTTGGAGACAAGACACCAGTGCTGTGATTTGGGAGGACCGAAAAATGTTCTGGTCCCAAAGAGGGACTGGGAGGAGGCACAAGTGGCAGAATCAAGTCTTGTTGATGCCATTGAGCAAGGTTTGGAGTGAAAAAGACACAAAAGGTAATGTAACCAACCTCTGGTTGGTGAGGGTAAGGTAGAGAGCTCTGCCTGGCTGCCTCATCA